TTTTGTCCAGCCTGAAGAATCTCTTCCAATTTGTCTGTTCCATTGGTCAACATCTTGACTGATTTGGTCATTTGATTCAGTTGTGAGTTCAGTAGTTGAACTTCTCCTTCTAAATGACTTATAGTTTCAAGATTTGCTCTCTTTTCAGCCTCCAGCTTTACAATGAGTTTTGATTGTTTCTCATTTTGCACACAGACTTCACCACTTCTGATACACAATTTCTTGTAGGTATCAGCCAGTTCCTCAAATGTCACTTCTTCATCACTGGTGTCACTTTCAGAAGTGCAAACACTAGTTAGGGCAGTAACTAGTTTGGCAGATTCTTCTTCAGAATTGCTTTCTGAATCATAGTCAGACCAGGTAACAGTCATTCCTTTCTTTTGCTTCTTAAGAAAGGTAGGACATTCAGCTCGAATATGTCCATATCCTTCACATCCATGGCATTGAATACCTCTGCCTTGGTTTCCCTTATCTTCTGACCTTGGTCTTCTGTCAATGTCAGAAGGAATGTTATGAACATTAGACTTTGACTTTGGGTCCATTCTTTTGATGAGCCTGTTGAACTGTCTTCCAAGCATGGCAATGGCTTCTGATATGTTTTCTTCTTCATCTTCCTTGTATTCAACATCAGTGTTGGATACAAGTGCTATGCTTTTGTTCTTCTTGTCACCATTATCAGTGATCCCCATCTCAAAAGTCTGAAGAGACCCAATAAGTTCATCCACTTTTAACTTGCTAATGTCCTGGGCTTCCTCTATGGCAGTTACCTTCATTGCAAATCTTTTAGGCAAGGATCTGAGAATCTTCCTCACCAGTTTTTCTTCTGACATTTTTTCTCCCAGTGCTCCTGAGGTGTTGGCAATCTCCAAGATGTTCATGTGAAATTCATGAATGGTTTCATCTTCCATCATTTTTAGATTCTCAAACTTAGTGGTCAACATCTGAAGTCTTGACATTTTTACTTTGGAAGTTCCCTCATGAGTAGTTTTGAGAGTGTCCCAAACTTCCTTGGCCAGTTCATATTGATGTACTAGTCTGAAGATGTTTCTATCTATTCCATTGAACAAGGCATTTAAAGCTTTTGAATTTCCCAGAGCTAACTCATCTTCTTCTTTACTCCAATCTTCTTCAGGCTTCAGACTGATTGTCCCATCTCTTTCAGTTATGGTGGGATGAATCCATCCTTTGTCAGCAGCTCTTCAAGCCTTTTTGTCCAGAGATTTTAGAAATGCAATCATACGAGGTTTCCAGTAGTCATAATTAGTTCCATCCAGAATGGGTGGTCTATTTCCAAAAACTCCTTCTTTGTCCATAGTGCCAGAAAGTGATATCCCTAGATCTCACCCAGTAATACAGGCAGGGTGCCTGCTCTGATACCAATTGAAATTCTGGCTACAGATACTTAATGTCACGTCCGATGTTATGACACCGTATCTGACTTACTATATGACAGTAAATACAAAAGCAGTAAATAACACAGTCAATTGTTTACCCAGTTCAGTGTGCAACAACACCTACTCTGGGGGCTACCAAGCCAGGGAGAGAATCCACTATAAGAGATGTTAATTCAGGAATAAACCAACCAGTTTATCTCCTTCACTTAAGACCTACCCAATGCAATTCTAATCTAAGTTCAACTTAAACCTGAGTTCCTACTCACTCCCCCTCAATCACAGCAGTGATACATAAACCAATTTGACTTGAGAATTAATGAAGACACTCTTCAAAACACACTCTTGATTAAGCTTCACAGCTTTTTAATCAAGTAACACAATCACTCGTGCTTCACAGCTTTGAGTGATGTACACAACTAACTTGACTCTGCTTCACAGCTTTAGTCAAGTAACATTCAAACACTCTTGCTTCAAAGCTTTGAGTGCTACACAACCCTTACAATTGAAACCTATTCCAAGACACTTATCACAATGATAATTGCTTGGAGTACAATAAACAAATCTATACAGATTACAAACTTGATCTTCTAATCAATCAGCAGGGATGACTTCAAAAACCGCAGCTCTGTTGAATATATAGCAGCTGCAACTTCAGTTAGGGTTTCCAAAAACCTAGGGTTGATTCCGTTTGACCTTAAGACCAGGTCACAGTACTTCATTGATCAGGTTAGGATTGAGCTAGGTTACTCCTCAGAAAACGCAGGATTCTGTTTAGGAAGGACTGAGTTATTTCCTGAAAAAACTCAGACTTATCCAATCCTGTAATCCTGCTAGTTCAGAACAGGATGTCATAACATCTGTTATGACATCTGAGAAAACCTGTCTACTGATTAGCAAAATGTGATCATTTTGCAAACATGCTCAGATACACACTTATAAACATCAGTATTTGAGTTACAATATTTTTCTGCACATGTACCTAAAGAGTTAGTACAACCTGAACTAGAATGTTATGACATCAGTCATGACATTCACACATACACTTGGAATTTACCAAAAATGCAAGCCAATACCTAAACACCTACAGAACCAAAGAGGAAGAAAACTCTATATAAAGAAATGTTAAAGGAAGAGAAAGAAAAACAAGAAATTTGGATCAAGTGAAGTGTGTTAAAGATGAAGAAAGAAAAATATTAAATCAGAAAAAAGATATAAAGAATTGGTGGAAGACATATTTCTACAATTTACTTAATGAAGAATATAGTATCTCACCGAACTCTAGAATCAAAATTATAATTACATCAGTCATATTTTGAAATAAGAGGTAAAGGAAGCATTAAAAATGATGAGTAATAATAAGACGGTTGAGCCAAACAACATACTTATTGAAATATGGAAAATTCTTAGAGAAATAGGTATTGAATGACTCAACAAACTCTTTAATAACTATATTGTCAAAACAAATAGTGGATAAATGAAGAAGAAACACTTTAATTTTAATCTATAAGAACAAGTGAGGTATACAAAGTTATGTAAATTATAGGGGGATTAAAATTATGAGTCATACTATAAAATTATGAGAAAGAGTAGTTGAACAAAGAATAAGAAAAGATACTCAAGTAATTGAGAATCAATTTTCTTTTATGATTGGAAGGTCGACCATGAAAGCGATCTATCTAATACGGTGTGTGATGAAGCAATATCAGATGGACCAAAAATACTTGCACTTAATTTTTTTATTAGTTTGGATAGGACATGTGATAGAGTGTCTAGAGAGATTTTTTGGTAATCTCTAAAGAAGATAGACAAACGATTTTCCCGTTACAATATGTTTGCATCAGCGTTTAACCATAACACCTATCTTTTTACTTTAATTTTGGATGTACTCACGAAACACATCCAAGAGTTAACAACGAGATGCATGTTATTTTTCAGATGATAAAGTCTTATTTGGAGAGTCAAAGGAGAATTTAAATGAGAGGTTATAGAAGATTTTTAGAAACTTATGATTTTCACCCAAACAGAAGTAAGACGGAGTATAGGGAATGTAAGTTTAATAAAAGAAGAAGCATTTCTAGCTTAGAGATGAAAGTTAGAGACTATATCATCCCTCAAGTCACACAACTTAAATGTTTTGGATATATAATATAAAATGATAGAGTAATAGAAGGGGTGTAAACCATTGAACTCCAGTTGGATGGTTGAAATGGAGGAAGACTTCAGGGGTTTTATTATGTGACACAAATATACCACTCAAGCTGAAGGAAATATTTTATCGAACTGCAGTAAGACATGCGATGTTATGCGAGATAAAATATTATACGATTAAGAATAAACACGATAATAAAGTAAGTGTAACATAGATGTGGAGTAGACAAAATATTGTAGGAGTAGCACCTATAGTAGAAAAATGATGAAAATGAAAAAAGTTGATCCATGTAGTCATCCATACTTAGTGGAATAATAATTGATTGTTATCACTGTATATGATTATTAAGCTAAAGGAGCAAAATTCTCCGACATTTTATTTTAATTTACCTGTTTTAATCAAAGTAGTCATTCATGAATAGCGACGTAGAATAGCCGACCCCAAATATGAGATATATCAACCTATTTGATCATTTTTTTTGGATAAATTAAAAATAATATTTATAAACGTGAATTTAATGTAAAATTAAATAAATAAGTCAACTCATAAAATATTCATAAATTAAATCACACATGACTCCACGGCTCTTAAAGTGCATATACCACTATGAAAGAAAGGTTTAGGTTGAATCTCAAATCAAATTTCATTCAAAAACTTAAAATTATTCTTAAAACGTTGTAATTTAAGGAATAATTTAGGTTTTTTATGGGAAAAATGATAGCAGGGCAAAAACTGCTTCGGATCAAAAACCACTTTCTTCTGCTATCCCACTATTTATACCATAACGGACTCTATAATGTTCTACACCTTAGCGGTTCTTTCGATCGATCCACACCTGCTCCGCTATAGCAGGATAGTGCGGCTATTAGCCCCGCTTAGCCGCTGTTGACTACTCTAATGATGTCGATAATGATTAACATGTTAAGTGAAACTGATATTTCCACACTGAAGATAAGATAAACATCAACATCTTAAACCACATGCCAAGTCAATGAAAAGTTAATCAAAGTTGGCTTTGGGTATAAATCACCCATCTCTACCAATTTGAGGGGTTCACAAGACTCAACAATTAAAGATTGTGATCCATGCCAACTTTGTAACAGTTATACCAAACATGACAGCAACCACATAATCTCACTTTTAACAGAGTTAAAGGTTTCACCAAAAGCAAAATATAATGCTATAGCAAGAATAATAATTACTTCAACAAGGAACAGATATGCATTATGCACTCCCCTAAATAATAGTACAGTGGAAATTGTAGAGGAAAAGAAGGAAATACATCAAAGTTGGAGGGTCTTAATGAAAATTGAAGCCAAACCTTAAAAAAACTTAAATTACACTCTAGGTCCCTAAACTATTTTAAATTACGCTTCGAGACCTATAGAATAATCAAAACCTAAAAAAAGTTACTACATAAGCACACATGATTCATCAAAGTAAAGATAGAGTTAAACTCATCTAGAAGAGATATCATCTATGTCATTGATCAAATCAGGGTGTTGAATTTGGTCACGAGAACCCTCTTTCAAGCTAGACTTATGCAACTCTTCTATGTGCTGTCTGACTTGCGACATCGAAGGGCGGTTATCGGGGTACGTTGCTGCACAATCTACTGCAAGTTGTAACAGCTGAACCATTTCCTCTTCAACGTTTTGGTACCTAAGTAGTTCGAGATCAAAGACCTCGGAGGTCCATTCTTCTTTAACAACCGATTGCACCCATCTTGGAAGGTCCACTCCTTCGTCGTTCATGAGGGCGTGAGTTGGAGCTTTTCCGGTAAGAAGTTCCAAGAGTAGTACACCGAAGCTGTATACATCGGCTTTCTGAGATACTTTTCGAGGATCGGTTACCTCGGGAGCACGGTAACCGGCTACCCTGTTGGGTGTGGATGAAGGACCAACAAGATGTGCGAGACCAAAATCAGATACTCTCGCATCATAGGACTTGGTTAGAAGGATGTTAGATGATTTTATGTTTCCATGTGAAACGTTAGGCCCTTGCGAATGTAGGTACTCGATACCACGAGCAGCTCCGAGTGCAATACCTGTTCTCATTTCCCAAGTCAGAGGTGTCCTACCTCCTCCTTTGTTTCCTGTATTCAAAATATAAAAGACTTATAAGACTAATGCATATTTAACAAATGGTCTGTCTGGATTGACTTATTCGAACTTATCTACTAACAAAACAACTTATGACAATTGCGATAATCATAATTCTATATCGAAACGAGTAAAGAAACCTAAAGTCATAACAAAGAACTCAAGATATAGAAAGTAAGAAAAAGGAAGCAAAGTAAAGCAAACCCTCACCATGCAAAAGTGCAGATAAGCTTCCCATATGCAAATAATCATGAACAAGAAGCTTCTCATCTCTACTATAATAGTAAGCCCTAAGAGGTGCCAAATTCTCATGAACCATTGTTCCGACCCTCTCGATCTTCTCCTTAAATTCCTTCTCCGAAATGGTCACATCCCTTAGTCTCTTCACAGCCACAACCACGGGACCAACCTCCAAAACTGCCTTATAAGATGTCCCAAAAGTTCCTTTTCCTAATACCTCAGCAGAAGCTCTTAACAAATCCTCCAAACCAAACACCTTACCCCAATTCCTAAAAAACACCAACTTTTTCTCACCACCACCAACAACCACACCTTCACTCACCGCGGCCGGCACCACCAGAGCTGCGGCCGACGAATACCCATTTCCATTTCCATTTCCATTCCCATTTCCAACATTCTCACTATGTATCCCCTCATCCTGCTGATTATGCTTCAAAGTTGCAGCAACTTCATCAATTGAACTAGTTTTTTCACCATTTTTATTCTTGCATATAACAATCAAAGCAAAAACTACAAACAAAAGAACCACAACAGACCCAATAACAATTCCAGCTATAGCACCACCAGATAATTTGCTTTTCTCCTTGTTCTTCACAAGCCCTTGATTATCACCAACCACAGAAGAGTTTCTATTTTCACCTCCATTTCCACTACTTGCACTTCCTTCATTAGGACAAGGGTTTAGGGGTTTTCCACATAGGAGATTATTACCCAAAAACGAATCTTTACCAAAAGTTTGCAACTTTTCAGGAACTGAACCGTTTAGGTTGTTATTTGAGACATTAAACTGAGCGAGTTCGACCCGGTTCAACTCGGTAAGAGAACCGGTGAACTGGTTGTTTTGAAGGTATAAGGTTTTCAACCGGGTTAGGTTTTGAAACCCAACCGGAATTTCGCCGGAGAAGTTATTGGAAGCTAAATTCAGACGGACTAGACCGGTGAGATGGAAGAATGTCGCCGGGAGTTCGCCGGAGAGGAGATTCTGCTGGAGGTAGAGGTTACGGAGTGAGGTGAGAGCGGAGAGGTCTGAGGGGAGAGGACCGGAAAGGGAGTTGAAACGGAGGCTGAGTGTGTGGAGGTTACGGAGGTCGGAGAATACACCGGCGGGGATTTTACCGGTGAGTGAAACGGCAGGGAGGTGAAGCTCGACAACGTGAGTGTGGTTTTGGTCGCATTTGACGCCGGACCAGTTACATGGAGTTGCAGAGGTGGTGTTCCAGAGAAAGGTACGGCCGCCAACGGCGGCGCGTAGGTTTAAGAGGGCGGCGCGTTCGGAAGTTAAGTCAGGTTTTACAAAAGGAAGAATAAAGAGGAAAAAGAAGAAGAGTTTCATTTGAGAAATTGTTGTAATGTGTTTCTGTTTTTGGTTGTTTTGAAGAACAGTTACATAAACCTTTTTTTGTGTGTGTTGTGTTGTGGTTTGGTTTTTGAGAGATGGAAAAAGGGAGAGAGCGGTTATGGTTTTAGGTTTGGTTTTTGTTTGGTTCTGTGAGGTTGGACTTTGGAGATACACGCCAAGGGAAGTGGAGTATGAGAGTGGACAAAATCAAAAACATATAATACTTGTTGGTGTAGGAGACATTTACTATTTTTGTTATTACTTTGCTTTATTTAAAAAATAATTAAAATACTTTAAATTTTTTTTATAAATTATAAAATACAAGTCTTACTTTTAATATATACGAAGTAAAAAAATACTAGTAATTGGGAACGGATAGAGTATCTTATTTGTTTGTAATCATTTCTAGAAGCAAGAAAAAGAAGCATTTAATTTGCATGGGTGTGCTAAAGAGACAAATTAAGAAGACAGAACAAAAAAGAAATGAAAGAATGGACATGTTCTCAAAATTATGAGTCAAATAAAGCTACAAACCAAGAAGATAGGACCGGTTCTCAAAATTATGAGTCAAAACATTCACAAAGATACATCAATGAAATTTAAGTGAAATAAATTCATTAATAAGAGACTATTCTTAATACTATAATTTTTCAACTCTGCATGAAATTACATAGCGGTGTTAATCCTTTTCATGGAGAATTTTGTGGTTTTCTCCGTAAGAAATTTATTTAAGAGAATATCTAATTTTAAATAAATTTGTATTATAATTTTGAAAGTTATTATCTAATTAATGTGTCTATTTTTTTGTGAGAAGGTTAGTATTGTCTTTTAAAATTGAAATTAATAGATGGTTGGAAATCCATCAAATATCTATGGTGAATTTCTACTTCAATGACAATAAATTATGAGAAAAACAAGAAAAAAAAGAAGACAGTTATTTTCTGCAGAGTTTCTCTCTACCCACAATCTGTGAAAAGCTTTGTTATTCACTTGCAACTGCAAACTCTGTAAATATAACTTAATTGACTTGATTACAAAATATGGGTTACTCTCTATATTTATAGATTTAGCTTGCAACTTAAGCTCAAAACTATAAAAACTCAAAATGTATATTTTGGTACTAAATCAAATTTATTCTATTTTAGATCTAAATCAAATCTATTTAAATCTAAAACAAATCGAATCTTTTCGACACTATGAGTTACAATTTAACACATCAACTAATTCACTGTGTCTAAACCATCTATGTTCATCATGACTCTTAGCCTTCTGAATACTTCGACTTGCACTCCCTTCGTCATGATGTCTGCAATCTGATTCTCAGTTTTGCACTGTTTCAAATTCATCTTCTCATCTGCTACCTGCTCTCGAAGATAATGGAACCTCATTTCGATGTGCTTACTTCGACCATGTACTATTAATTTCTTCGCCAGATTGATAGCTGGCATGCTGTCGATTTTCATGGTAATTGCTCCATGATCTTTCTCTGTTATCTATTCGACCAAGTTCACCATCCAAGTTGCTTGACATGCACAAAGAGAAGCAGTTATGTATTCTGCTTCACATGATAATAATGAAGAAGTGAAAAACACAAGAAGGGGGGTTGAATTGTAAAAACTTGAAATCAATTGCAGTCAACACAGTATTTTTATCCTGGTTCGTTTGATCTCAAACTACTCCAGTCCATCCGTCAAGGTGATTTCGCCTCTCTCCAACGAGGTCTTAATCTACTATATTCAACTGAATATTACAAATGCTTTAACAACTGCTAAAGCCTTCTTGAGTCAAACCACAAACCGGTTTCTCAAGGAAATACTTTCTTACAAAGAATTGAAATCTAGGTGTGTGAATGTTTTCTACAAAAATTATTTATCACAACTGTGATACTACACACGTTAAGCTTATGAGAACTAGATTGCTAAATTAATTGACTAAAGAATTTGAGAGCTTTAGCAAACTGAGAGTGAGGAAGATGATGAATAGCTTTAGGCGTGTAGAGTATTGTAGAGCATTAGCCAATTCAATCTTCACTAACTTGATTATATAGCATTGGAAATAAGGTACGTTGGAGTAGTAATTCCGTTTCAATGCCAATAACATTCTTTCCAAATTGAGAAGATCTTGTCTGGAATGATGTTGTTGGTAATAAAGCATCTTGAATGCACAGTACCGTTGCCACTTAAACATGTTCTGGCTTTGGCTCATTCTGACGCTGCTAGATGCTGATGAAGTGTTGTTGTCTTGATCAGAGTTCAGATGGTTAAGCGCAGATCTGTTCATCAAGCTTCAGCATAAGCACAAGTTGAGCTTCTGATTCTGGCATCTGATATAACATCTTCTGATGCTGATGTTGATATCTCATTTTCTGATGCTGATGATGATGTTCTCTTGCTGATACCCATCAGAGTTTCTGTAAAACAGAATGTAATTTTTTTAGGCAGCATATATGTCTTTACATGAATCATACAATTAACATATCTTAGCATTTTGTTATCATCAAAACTTAAACTTAGGGTAGTAGATTCAAACTTTGTTCTAACAATCTTCCCATTTTTGATGATGACAAAAACTATATATTTTTTAATTGAAAATTGACGTGAAAAGTATCAGAGATAACCAAATGGTAAATTGTATCAGAATTAAATAGGAAGTTATCAAAGATAAAATGATAAGGGATAAAGAGATATCAGAGTTTAGATCGGAGATACTCCCCCTGAGTTTATTACTTCCCTTTTTAATTCCAAGAGTTCTTCAAGATCAGATCTTTATTGACTTTCTTTGAACATCAGAATATCAGAGCTTCAGATCAGAATATCAGAGCTTCAGTGTATCAGAGATGATTAACTTCTTGTACCTGTAGGCTTATGCAAAAACAGAAAACATTCAAGTATATCAGAGTGTTAGAATGTTTGAGACTTTTTGTCTCAGTAATCCGTTATTGAAAAATATCATTCTTGTTCTCCCCCTTTTTGTCAACAATCAAAAAGTGTAAGTAATATAAGCTAAAACGATCAGAGCAGAAAAACTGTTATATTTAATTTAGAGCTAGACAAACAGTACAGATGATATGCAAAGAAATCAGTGAAAACATAAAAAAAAAATGAAAATCTAAGGTTGGGGTGGAAGGCGTGTGAGCAGAGTCTCTAGCATTGTCTTAATCTGATCAGCGGTTTCATTCTGCTTGTGCACCATGCTGACTACTGTATCAATCTTGCTATCTTGCACATCCATCCTTTCCTTCATCTTCTGATCATTCTCATCCATTCTTTGCTGCAGACGAATATCATTCTGCTTCAGCTCTTCCAGAGTCTGCCTGTCCAAGGCAGCTTGAGAAACATCAGAAGCAGGATACTTCTGAGAGCTTTCTGCAACATCTTCAGCTTGACTAACATCTTCAGCTTGGATAGTCTGATCTTCTGCTGGATGCACTATTGAAGCTGGACGCTTCTCAGACCATGACTCACTATCCAGAAGTAGCACTTCCTCCTTTGGTAGCTGACTTTCAACTTCCTTCAGCAGCTTGCTGAAGTTCTGTTGTGCCTGGATCAAGCGCCTACCACTGCGCTAAAAGCAATTGCTTGTAGCCAAGGTGCTACTCTATTTCCTTATAGCGAATCCAACAAGGGGCCTACCTGGCCCACCTAACACACCTGTGTAGGCGCCCATGGGGGGATGTTAAGCCCTTCGAATCCCTAAGGTTGACGCTGGATATTTTAATCCAACAAATAATGTCACTAATGGTTCCTTTCTTGAATTCCAAACAACTGGTGCACTACCTAGCATAAACATATATCTTGCTGTTGATTTTCGATCTTCAGCATCACTACACCAACTCGAATCAGTGTATCCCACTAACTTGCTTTCTTTTCCTTTATCAGTTGCAGGAAACAAAATACCATAATCAAGAGTTCCTTTGAGATACCTCAGTATCCTCTTCACTGCTGCTAGATGTGATACCTTTGGCTTCTGCATGAATTTACTTATCATACCTACACTATATGTTAAGTCAGACCTTGTATGACAAAGGTATCCCAATGATCCAATAAGTCTTCTGTATTGGGTTGGATCAATATCATATTCATCTGCATCTTTCAACAGTTGCAGTCTTGGTTCTGTAGGTGTCGAAGTTGAGTTGCATTCTTCCATCTCAAACCTCTTGAGAATTTCTCCTGCATATCTTCTTTGATGCATTATCAAACCCCTACTGCTCTTGCAGAATTTGATGTCAAGGAAATATGAAATCTCACCCAAATCAGACATTTTGAATTCCTTGCTGAAATCACCTTTGAAGTCTTTGATCTCACTTTTGCAGCTATCTGTTATCAACAAATCATCTACATAGAGACATAGTGTAAGCAATTCGCTATTGCTTCTTCTTACATATACTCCATGTTCAGTTGTGCACTTTACAAATTCCTTCTCCCTTAGAAAACTATCAATTTTCTTATTCCAAACTCTTGGAACTTATTTCAATCCATACAGGGATTTATGAAGCCTGTACACCTTTGTTTCTTCATCATGTTTCACAAATCCAACTGGTTGTTTAACATAGGCTTCTTAATCTAAGGGTATATTTAGGAATGCATACTTCACGTCCATCTGACATATGTGTCAACTGTTTATTTCTGTTAGACCAACAACCAACATGATTGTTTCGATCCTAGCAACAGGTGCAAAAACTTCATCGAAGTCTATTCCTTCTTTCTGTAGAAATCCTTTCGCCACAAGTCTTGCTTTATGTCGAGTTACTTCACCTTTTGAATTCGTTTTCACTTTGTATACCCACTTGACATCAATTGCCTTCTTGTCTTGAGGAAATTCGACAAGTGGCCAAGTGTTGTTTTCTTCAATAGACTTCACTTCTTCTTTCATTGCTTTCATCCGCTTCGAATCCTTCAATGCTTCAGCTGCATTAACAGGTTCGACATATGCATCGAAAGCATAATGTACCAACTCACATTCATCATTTATCACATCATCTGATGTAATCACAC